TTCGAGATGTCCGCAAATTTCGCAACGTTCTTGTCCAGTAATTTTGTAATGCTTTCCATTTTCGCGAAAATGAAATCATCAGTTACAAACGTGACACTATTTATAATTACTGACAGTAGCAAAATGCTATAATATCAATCTGTGTATGCTTCGTTCTTCCATCAACATACAGCTACAATGCATAGAAAGGAGTGTCGCTCACAGAAGGGGGCAAATTTTCAGCAATAAAAGGGGGTGGTTAACAATCGTTCAAAATATCAAGAATAGCAGATTGGGGGAAAAGTAAACTGGTCATAAGATCCGAGCATTATAAATGAATGTTGCGGTGCAATACCCATAGTTTTCTAAACAGGGATTGCCGAAAGTAACAAGAATTTTACTGCCATGTGAGACGATTTAGTACCAAATATGGCAAAATGCCACAAATTGCGCTAGAGTAACAAGAATAGGCAAGAATTGTTGAAGGGCAAGAAAGGGGCCAAGAACACACGCGCATCACTGTTTTTCCCTAATAGTAATGTTATCTTAACTGGGATACGTTCTTGTCCAGTAATTTTGTAATGCGTTCTATTTTCGCGAAAATGAAATCATCAGTTACAAACGTGACACTATTTATAATTACTGACGGTACCAAAATACTGTAATATCAATCTGTATATGCTTCGTTCTTCCATCAACATACAGCCAGCTAGGATGGCAAGAATAATCTTTGTTACTTTTGCGACTTTTGCGATATTTGCGGACATTTCGGGGCCCTTCTTGATTTCTTCCTTTGCTAAGTCTAGAATTTTGTTAAATTTGTTATTTTTGCGATTTTTGCGATATTTGTCACGGGTGTTTTAAGCTAGCTAGAAAAATCCTTGTTACTTTTGCGATTTTTGCGGACATTTCGGGGCCCCTCTTGGCTTCTTTGATTTCTAAGTCTCGAATTTTGTTACATTTGTTATTTTTGCGCTTTTTGCGATATTTGACATGGGTGTTTTAAGCTAGCAAGAAAAATCCTTGTTATATTTGCGATTTTTACAATATTTGCGGACATTTCGCGGCCGTTTTTGGTTTCCTCTTTTTTTAAGTCTAGAGTTTTGTTAAATTTGTTATTTTTGCGACTTTTGCGATATTTGTCATGGGTGTTTTAAGCTAGCAAGAAAAATCCTTGTTACTTTTGCGATTTTTGCGATAATTGCAGAGATTTCGGGGCCCTTCTTGGCTTCTTTGCTTTCTAAGTCTGGAATTTTGTTACAATTGTTATTCTTGCGATATTTGCGATATTTGTCACGGGTGTTTTTAGCTAGTAAGAAAAATCCTTGTTACTTTTGCGATTTTTGCAATAATTGCGGACATTTCGAGGCCCTTCTTGGTTTGTTCTTTTTCTAAGTCTAGAATTTTGTTAAATTTGTTATTTTTGCGATTTTTGCGATACTTGTCATAGGTGTTTTAAGCTAGGAAGAAAAATTCTTGTTATATTTGCGATGTTTGCGATATTTGCGGACATTTCGGGGCCCTTCTTGGTTTGTTCTTTTTCTAAATCTAGAATGTTGTTACATTTGTTATTTTTGCGATTTTTGCGATATTTTTCTTGGGTGTTTTTAGCTAGCAAGAAAAATCCTTGTTATATTTGCGATGTTTGCGATATTTGCGGACATTTCGGGGCCCTTCTTGGCTTCTTTTTTTTCTAAGTCTTTATTCTTGGTAGATTTGTTATTTTGCGATTTTTGCGATATTTGTCATGGGTGTTTTTAGCTCGCAAGAAAAATCCTTGTTATATTTGCGATTTTTGCGATATTGCGGACATTTCGGGGTCCTTCTTGGCTTCTTTTTTTGCTAAGTCTTTATTCTTGTTAGATTTGTTATTCTTGCGATATTTGCGATACTTGTCATGGGTATTTTAAGCTAGGAAGAAAAATCCTTGTTATATTTGCGATTTTTGCGATATTTGCGGACATTTCGGGGCCCTTCTTGGTTTGTTCTTTTTCCAAGTGTAGAATTTTGTTACATTTGTTATTTGTGCGATTTTTGCGATATTTATCATGGGTGTTTTTAGCTAGTAAGAAAAATCCTTGTTATATTTGCAATTTTTGCGATATTTGCGGACATTTCGGGGCCCTTCTTGGTTTCTTGTTTTTCTAAATCTAGAATTTTGTTACATTTGTTATTTTTGCGATTTTTGCGATATTTGTCTTGGGTGTTTTTAGCTAGCAAGAAAAGTCCTTGTTATATTTGCGATGTTTGCGATATTTGCGGACATTTCGGGGCCCTTCTTGGCTTCTTTTTTTTCTAAGTCTTTATTCTTGGTAGATTTGTTATTCTTGCGATTTTTGCGATATTTGTCATGGGTGTGTTTTGCTTGCAAGAAAAATCCTTGTTATATTTGCGATTTTTGCGATATTTGCGGACATTTCAGGGTCCTTCTTGGCTTCTTTTTTTTCTAGGTCTTGATTCTAGTTAGATTTGTTATTCTTGCGATTTTTGCCATATTTGTTAGTGATTTTCTGACATAATTTTTTCCCAATTATTTCTTTTGCGACAATTGCAAAAAACATTTGCTAGCAAATTTTTGCTAACAAGATCGATCCTGGACATATCTCAATATCATGGGTGACCAATTACTTTAGCAATGGAGGATTTTTGACTTGTTTATCCTGAATCGATCGATCGTGAACTCCACTCTCTCAAATGTTTAGAGCTGAAATTTGGCTTAAGTTTTCAGAATTTTTCGATAACAAACCTCTAAGAATCCTTCTTGATGTGCTCTTTCGTGTGTTCGGGTTTTCTAAAGCGTCTTTTTATGCCCTGACATCTTCATTCATGACATTTGAAAACTTCGTCGCCATCTTGAAACGGAGACGTACGGCAGGTTGTCACGGCAATTTAGTAATTTCACATGTGAAATTACAAATTAACGCTGAAATTTCGCGCAAAAATTAAGGAGTAATTCGTTACCTTTGATATTAAACGGATAACAGCCTAATCCTTAGCACAAATTACAGATGTTTGACCAAACTGCCGATTTTTTTTTTTACAGCCTGTTATTACTGACTCATTTAAGGTCACAACATCACAATTCTATTGTTCTAAATCTAGCTTTAACCAACACACAGCGTCATCTCTCAACACGTTACAACAGCTCCTGGTTACTTTTTTCGTCATATAAATTTGTCTTTTTGGCTGGATTCATTATTCAGTGGAAATTGATACTCAGAGTGCTCTGCCATGACGATTCAAGCTCCTAAAATTATTCAAGGAATTAAATTTGGAACTCTTAAAAAGCCCATGTTCAGTTTATTTCATGTGATTATTTTTTCATTTAATGGGAAAATAAAACGAACTATTAAGGGTACGACTTCCAGTGAGGAATATTTGAAATAATCGCGGCGTTAATACGGTATCGTACTCGTATTGAAATCTAAACTTTCCCATTGTCCTTTTTTCAGCAAGATGTAAGTGCTTGCTGACGTTTCCTATTCAATCTATTCATAATTTGCAAGTTCAATAAAAGACTTAATAGAAGAAGAGACATCACTCTCTCTTTCGCAGAGATTTCACGCACGCCATCTTTCCCCTCTCCCAAGCCCTCCTGTCTGATCAGTTTTTGCTGGATCACATTGCAGACATGTAATTTAGTCCTACAGAATATTGCTGATATGTATGGAGGCAAAGAGGCAATGCACTTGCTACCATTGCACTTCAACTTGACAGAGAGGGGATAAAACGGGATGAGAAGATGGCGAGAGGGGCAGGGGGGTTTCGCGATTATCCTAGTGAGGCGATGATTTTAAATATTCCCGTCAAAGGGTGGCGATTATTCGAGACGGGCGATTAATCGTGAGACGTCCATTATTCGAGGAAATACGGTATTTTCTCAATACTAACTAGTGCGCGCCCACGTGAACCAATAGCCTCCCATGTAACGAAGCCCTAGGAACGTCTGCCCGGGAGCTCGAGGCTAGGGAACTACGTAGCGTCATTTTGGCGATTAGCCGTCTTCATGCATTATACTACGAGTTTTAGCGAGAATGATGTGACGGTAAAAACAAGTTATCGAAAGTTAGAACCTTAACTTTTTTGCAATCGGAAGAGAGCTTAACCTTCTTCAATAAATATAACCTTGCTGACCTTTCTGGTAAAAAAATGAAGTTTTCGCGATACCTATTTTTTTTAATACCCGAAAAAAGCTAAATCTTGTCTTTATAGCAGTCGTCGTCCTCGAGTCTCTACTATCATGTGGTTCTGCGATTTTCCGTGATGATGTAAATCGTTTGTACTGTTTTTACTGACGCGCGCACTTGTGGGGAAGGATACTGCTTGTGTGCTTTTAAACAAAGAACACCGACACCGTATCACTGCAAACGCTGAAAACAACGTTGCACGCAATATACTTGTTATTTACGCATAATTGGGAAAGTCCTTCATATAAAGCCAGCTAGAAGCCAACTCGAAAAGATCATCTTGGAAATCCAGACATCTAAAACAATTACCAAAGCAAACTTTGAAAAGAGAACACACTTGTAGCTTAAATAAAACACGTCTCTAATAGCGTCATTCTATTTGAATTATTTTTGAAAACTCGTAACGTGGGCGATAATTTAGAGGGGTTTACAAAAAAAGATGATGTTGCAAAACCGCATCATAGTTGCCCCCTGCTTCTTTTGAAAGAAGATGGATTTCGCATCCGCGTCCTCTTTACTGAATAGTATTATTTGCGTTGAACTTCCCGTTTTACAACTTAGAAAACATGAGGATCATTTTTACAAAAACGGAAGTATTAGTCCGAAGTCATAGAGTCGTACAATGTAACTACTCATAAAAGAGAGGTGTCATAATTATGAACGTGTAAAAAGTTGGTTTAAAAAGCTTTCGCGTCTTGAAACCTTTAACTATTGTTATTGTTATCAACTGATGTTGGATTGACAGAAAGATGACTGTTGCACTCTTCTTAACAAGTAAATAATTAATAAATTCAATAACACGTATAAAATGGGTCTTTTGATCATGAATTAGTTGCTGACAATACAAAGATTCAATGATTTTATGCACCGTCGGACCTAAAAAATATAATAATGGTAGCGGTCTTTTGGTGTCTCACTCGCTTGTTCGTTCTCACTGCTGTTATGGTAGTTTCATTGGTAATGTCCGAATCGGACTTCTGCGCAAGTGTTTTTGAAACTCAAATTGGTAAGTTAACGCCTATAATTAACTAAAAATCTCAAACCATCTTTATCATTCACATACTGAGTTCATTTCCTCACGTTATAATTGTTGTGTTTTTGGAAAATAAAATGTTCTACACGTGTCGCTTTTAATGGTTTTAATGTTAAGACACAAACTAGTAAATCTGACATGAATCAGACAGGCTAAAACACCTCTGTCCTTTGGGGTAATAATAGAAAAAGAAGTCAATCTCAGGGAGTGTTTGTCCGATACCAGACATCGGCTGAGATTAGTAAGCTGAAATAACGAGACACATCCTCAACACTCACTGAAGAATTCAAAACGAAAGTTGACCGTATTACCGGGAGGTGGCCGTAAGGCGGGGTTCCAATGTACTTAGTTATAATTTTAGCCAGGCATTGACCAAAAATCGTCAAATTGATTACGGTAAACGTATTAGTTCCTTAAGACTTTTTTTCATTTTTCTCATCGATTTGTTGACCATTTTCAGACCCTGTTTTAGTTGGTAATGTTATTAACACGTCCGTTGTTGCTGAGGCTGTTGAATGTCACCAAAAATGCCTCAGAAAAAACAACTGCAAGTCGTTTAAGAGCGGCTCCGCGTAAATATCAACTAGACGTGGAAATAGTCAAAAAATGACCTGGCCTCAAACTCAGCCAGAATAAAGCCCTATGGGCCCTAGTTACAAAATCGTTGGTTTAAGTACGATCGAGTGAATAATATTTTTCTAACGAATTTTTTTCTTCCCGAGGCCTAAAATGGGCAAAAATCATGCGAAATTGCAGTCATATTCAGTAACTCATACATTTTAAAATAAAGTTGGCTACTGAAAGCGGATTGGTACATGGCTTTGAACACCCAGGCTTGTTTAGTCTGAAAGAGGATTCTTTTTTCTTTAAATTAGTGAAATAAAATTTTTGGGTAAATGAAATCACGAGCGCTGCCAAAGCGAGGCAAAAGTAATTGTTACACTAAAAACAGGCGAAAAACGTGACCTCTGAACGAAGCACAAACCAAATGCGAATTACGGTAGGCGCCAAACCTTTAATTATTCGGTAAGTTCTCGAAACAATATTGGTCTGAAATGTGTATAGGTTTTTTAAAATAAAGCTGAGTCAAAGTATTATGTGTCAAAAAGTCCACAAAGCGGTTAAAATACAACAAAAGTCACAAGTAATCTGTTCCGTTTTCTGAATTTTATGCAGCGATTTATGCGATTGAAAGAATTAACAATTTTTAATCCAACGATACCCACTTGAGACTGTGTTAGTTTAAGAGTCCATAGAACTTCTCAGAAGATTTCTCCAGAAGGAAATGAATGAAGAGTTTGAACTTATGACTGTAACAATTTCACTTGCCGCCACGGCAAAACGAAAACAATTGTGGAACTGCCATAGGCAAACCAGCTTTCAGTGCAGTCATGCAAAGCATGTCACGTCACGTAATTCTGTCCCGCGCATTTGGGAAGGAGGGAACAAATTCTTCCATGCTGTGCGCTGAAACATTTGTGAAATAAAATTAGCTTTGGACTGTTTCATTTTTGCTCTCGCTTGATGTCAAAGGTGCCTTTTCCGCCGATATAATCTTGGACTTGATTAGCAGGCGTTTTTAGGGGATTCGTAACGTAAACAACATAATTATGCTTTACAAACTTCACAAAACGACGATACACGTCCTCCTCTGCAAAGTACGACGCAAAACATATGTTTTTTTATCTCGATTTCCGCTGTTATTTTGAAGATAATGGTCAAAATCACATCCATTTTCGGCTCATACAGGTTCTTAAGAATAGCATGGCATGACATTTTCTCACTTTTACATCACCTTCTAGCAAGCTGGAATTTGTATATCCCCCGTGTTGCGGGGTGGAAGAGCAAATGCTCATCTTCTCGTCTATAATTCTATAATTGCAGACATTTCGGGGCCCTTCTTGGCTTCTTTGCTTTCTAAGTCTGGAATTTTGTTACATTTGTTATTCTTGCGATATTTGTCACGGTGTTTTTAGCTCGCAAGAAAAATCCTTGTTACTTTTGCGATTTTTGCAACAATTGCGGACACTTCGGGGCCCTTCTTGGTTTCTTCTTTTTCTAAGACTAGAATTTTGTAAAATTTGTTATTTTTGCGACCTTTGCGATATTTGTCATGGGTGTTTTTAGCTCGCAAGAAAAATCCTTGTTATATTTGCGATGTTTGCGATATTTGCGGACATTTCGGGGCCCTTCTAGGTTTGTTCTTTTTCTAAGTCTAGAATTTTGTTACATTTGTTATTTTTGCGATTTTTGCGATACTTGTCATAGGTGTTTTAAGCTAGGAAGAAAAATTCTTGTTATATTTGCGATGTTTGCGATATTTGCGGACATTTCGGGGCCCTTCTTGGTTTGTTCTTTTTCTAAATCTAGAATGTTGTTACATTTGTTATTTTTGCGATTTTTGCGATATTTTTCTTGGGTGTTTTTAGCTAGCAAGAAAAATCCTTGTTATATTTGCGATGTTTGCGATATTTGCGGACATTTCGGGGCCCTTCTTGGCTTCTTTTTTTTCTAAGTCTTTATTCTTGGTAGATTTGTTATTTTGCGATTTTTGCGATATTTGTCATGGGTGTTTTTTGCTAGCAAGAAAAATCCTTGTTATATTTGCGATTTTTGCGATATTTGCGGACATTTCAGGGTCCTTCTTGGCTTCTTTTTTTTCTAAGTCTTGATTCTTGTTAGATTTGTTATTCTTGCGATTTTTGCCATATTTGTTAGTGATTTTCTGACATAATTTTTTCCCAATTATTTCTTTTGCGACAATTGCAAAAAACATTTGCTAGCAAATTTTTGCTAACAAGATCGATCCTGGACATATCTCAATATCATGGGTGACCAATTACTTTAGCAATGGAGGATTTTTGACTTGTTTATCCTGAATCGATCGATCGTGAACTCCACTCTCTCAAACGTTTAGAACTGAAATTTGGCTTAAGTTTTCAGAATTTTTCGATAACAAACCTCTAAGAATCCTTCTTGATGTGCTCTTTCGTGTGTTCGGGTTTTCTAAAGCGTCTTTTTATGCCCTGACATCTTCATTCATGACATTTGAAAACTTCGTCGCCATCTTGAATCGGAGACGTACGGCAGGTTGCCACGGCAATTTAGTAATTTCACATGTGAAATTACAAATTAACGCTGAAATTTCGCGCCAAAATTAAGGAGTAATTCGTCACCTTTGATATTAAACGGATAACAGCCTAATCCTTAGCACAAATTACAGATGTTTGACCAAACTGCCGATTTTTTTTTTAACAGCCTGTTATTACTGACTCATTTAAGGTCACAACATCACAATTCTATTGTTCTAAATCTAGCTTTAACCAACACACAGCGTCGTCTCTCAACAAGTTACAACAGCTCCTGGTTACTAATAAAAAAAAAATTTCATCTCTCTTTTTTCGTCATATAAATTTGTCTTTTTGGCTGGATTCATTATTCAGTGGAAATTGATACTCAGAGTGCTCTGCCATGACGATTCAAGCTCCTAAAAATTATTCAAGGAACTAAATTTGGAACTCTTAAAAAGCCCATGTTCAGTTTATTTCATGTGATTATTTTTTCATTTAATGGGAAAATAAAACGAACTATTAAGGGTACGACTTCCAGTGAGGAATATTTGAAATAATCGCGGCGTTAATACGGTATCGTACTCGTATTGAAATCTAAACTTTCCCATTGTCCTTTTTTCAGCAAGATGTAAGTGCTTGCTGACGTTTCCTATTCAATCTATTCATAATTTGCAAGTTCAATAAAAGAATTAATAGAAGAAGAGACATCACTCTCTCTTTCGCAGAGATTTCACGCACGCCATCTTTCCCCTCTCCCAAGCCCTCCTGTCTGATCAGTTTTTGCTGGATCACATTGCAGACATGTAATTTAGTCCTACAGAATATTGCTGATATGTATGGAGGCAAAGAGGCAATGCACTTGCTACCATTGCACTTCAACTTGACAGAGAGGGGATAAAACGGGATGAGAAGATGGCGAGAGGGGCAGGGGGGTTTCGCGATTATCCTAGTGAGGCGATGATTTTAAATATTCCCGTCAAAGGGTGGCGATTATTCGAGACGGGCGATTAATCGTGAGACGTCCATTATTCGAGGAAATACGGTATTTTCTCAATACTAACTAGTGCGCGCCCACGTGAACCAATAGCCTCCCATGTAACGAAGCCCTAGGAACGTCTGCCCGGGAGCTCGAGGCTAGTGAACTACGAGGCGTCATTTTGGCGATTAATCGTGATAGCCGTCTTCATGCATTACACTACGAGTTTAAGCGAGAATGATGTGACGGTAAAAACAAGTTATCGAAAGTTAGAACCTTAACTTTTTTGCAATCGGAAGAGAGCTTAACCTTCTTCAATAAATATAACCGTGCTGACCTTTCTGGTAAAAAAAATGAAGTTTCCGGGATACCTATTTTTTTTAATACCCGAAAAAAGCTAAATCTTGTCTTTATAGTGTTACGTGACGGAATAACCAAGAGATGTCCGCGAACAAGGTATAAGTGAAAAGAACTTCCGAGTACGATATAAGGCACGCAACAAAAGTGTGACAACGAGCAGTTACCCCTTTTTAACTATTGTTTATTTAGTGATACACTGTTATAGTTACTTAGGTTAAAGATTAAGTTAAGCAGTTCGTAACACAGGCAGGCTTACTGTCTTTCATGGCCATACAGGAGCAACTCCCAATTCCACTGACTTGAGACATCAATGCTTGAGTTTCTTGATTCACTGGATCCTTTCCACTCATTGGCTTTTCTGTATTCACAAACTCGTACGGGGAACTTCATCATGAACTCTTTTATCTTCTTCTCTTTTCTGCTATCGTCTCTTTCTTCTCTCCAGATATAGCAATGTCAAAGGTTATAGCTCCTCCATAGTTATCACAGTTGATTATAGCTTTCTCACAGTATAGCATCCATGTGATAAGTTTAATCACAGCTAGCCACGAGGGAAAACCCTCGGGCACTCACACACAGAGACATCTGTTACTTGGAAGCCTGCTTTTATACCTTTTCTTTAAGCATCTAGAACGTTCCGTTGCTATTTATAGTGTATTACAACATCTACTATTTGTGGAAACTGCTGAGTCGCATTACAGATATTTCTGGAACATTACAGATTGTAAGATAATTCTAGAAAAGTCTGGAATTGCATGACGGATAAACTAAAAATAATTCTGATCCTCATAACAATAGCAGTCGTCGTCCTCGAGTCTCTACTATCCTGTGGTTCTGCGATTCTCCGTGATGACGTAAATCGTTTGTACTGTTTTTACTGACGTGCGCACTTGTGGGGAAGGATACTGCTTGTGTGCTTTTAAACAAAGAACACCGACACCGTATCACTGCAAACGCTGAAAACAACGTTGCACGCAATATACTTGTTATTTACGCATAATTGGGAAAGTCCTTCATATAAAGCCAGCTAGAAGCCAACTCGAAAAGATCATCTTGGAAATCCAGACATCTAAAACAATTACCAAAGCAAACTTTGAAAAGAGAACACACTTGTAGCTTAAATAAAACACGTCTCTAATAGCGTCATTCTATTGGAATTATTTTTGAAAACTCGTAACGTGGGCGATAATTTAGAGAGGTTTACAAAAAAAGATGATGTTGCAAAACCGCATCATAGTTGCCACCTGCTTCTTTTGAAAGAAGATGGATTTCGCATCCGCGTCCTCTTTACTGAATAGTGTTATTTGCGTTGAACTTCCCGTTTTACAACTTAGAAAACATGAGGATCATTTTTACAAAAACGGAAGTATTAGTCCGAAGTCATAGAGTCGTACAATGTAACTACTCATAAAAGAGAGGTGTCATAATTATGAACGTGTAAAAAGTTGGTTTAAAAAGCTTTCGCGTCTTGAAACCTTTAACTATTGTTATTGTTATCAACTGATATTGGATTGACAGAAAGATGACTGTTGCACTCTTCTTAACAAGTAAATAATTAATAAATTCAATAACACGTATAAAATGGGTCTTTTGATCATGAATTAGTTGCTGACAATACAAAGATTCAATGATTTTATGCACCGTCGGACCTAAAAAATATAACAATGGTAGCGGTCTTTTGGTGTCTCACTCGCTTGTTCGTTCTCACTGCTGTTATGGTAGTTTCATTGGTAATGTCCGAATCGGACTTCTGCGCAAGTGTTTTTGAAACTCAAATTGGTAAGTTAACGCCTATAATTAACTAAAATTTCAAAACCATCTTTATGATTCCCACACTTATGTCCAGGATCGATCTTGTTAGCAACAATTTGCTAGCAAATTGCTTTCGCAGTTGTCGCAAAAGAAATAATTGAGAAAAAGTTATGTAACAAAATCACTTACAAATATCGCAAAAATAACAAATCCAGCAAGAATCAATACTTAGAAAAAAAAGAAAACAAGAATGACCCCGAAATGTCCGCACATATCGCGAAAGAAACAAGGATTTTTCTTGCTCGCTGAAAACACCCGTGACAAGTATCGCAAATATCGCAAAAATAACAAATCTAAAAAGAATCAAGACTTGGAAACAGAAGAAGCCAAGAAGGACCCCGAAATGTCCGCAAATATCGCGAAAATCGCAAAAGTAACAAGGATTTTTTTTGCTAGCTAAAAACACCCGTGACAAATATCGCAAAAATAAGAAATCTAACAAGAATCAAGACTTGGAAACAGAAGAAGTCAAGAAGGGCTTTGCGATGTCCGCAAATTTTGCAAAAATCGCAAAAGTAACAAGAATTTTTCATGCTATGTGAAAAGACTGAGCAACAAATATGGCAAAAATTGCAAGAATAACAAATTTCACAAAATTCTACACTTGGAAAGAGGAAAGGTCAAGAAGGGCTTCGAGATGTCCGCAAATTTCGCAACGTTCTTGTCCAGTAATTTTGTAATGCTTTCCATTTTCGCGAAAATGAAATCATCAGTTACAAACGTGACACTATTTATAATTACTGACAGTAGCAAAATGCTATAATATCAATCTGTGTATGCTTCGTTCTTCCATCAACATACAGCTAGCTAGGATAGCAAGAAAAATCCTTGTTACTTTTGCGACTTTTGCGATATTTGCGGACATTTCGGGGCCCTTCTTAATTTCTTCCTTTGCTAAGTCTAGAATTTTGTTAAATTTGTTATTTTTGCGATTTTTGCCATATTTGTCACGGGTGTTTTAAGCTAGCTAGAAAAATCCTTGTTACTTTTGCGATTTTTGCGATATTTGCGGACATTTCGGGGCCCCTCTTGGCTTCTTTGCTTTTTAAGTCTCGAATTTTGTTACATTTGTTATTTTTGCGATTTTTGCGATATTTGTCATGGTTGTTTTTAGCTCGCAAGAAAAATCCTCGTTACTTTTGCGATTTTTGCGATAATTGCAGAGTTTCGAGGCCCCTCTTGGCTTCTTTGCTTTCTAAGTATGGAATTTTGTTACATTTGTTATTTTTGCGATATTTGTCATGGGTGTTTTTAGCTCGCAAGAAAAATCGTTGTTACTTTTGCGATTTTTGCAATAATTGCGGACATTTCGGAGCCCTTCTTGGCTTCTTTGCTTTCTAAGTCTGGAATTTTGTTACATTTTTTATTTTTGCGATTTTTGCGATATTTGTCACGGGTGTTTTTAGCTTGCAAGAGAAATCTTGGTTACTTTTGCGATTTTTGCAATAATTGCGGACATTTCGGGGCCCTTCTTGGCTTCTTTGCTTTCTAGGTCCGGAATTTTGTTACGTTTGTTATATTCGCGATATTTGTCATGGGTGTTTTTAGCTCGCAACAAAAATCGTTGTTACGTTTGCGATTTTTGCGATAATTGCGGATATTTCGGGGCCCTTCTTGGGTTCTTCTTTTTCTAGGCCTGGAGTTTTGTTAAATTTGTTATTTTTGCGATTTTTGCAATATTTGTCATCGGTGTTTTTAGCTCGCAAGAGAAATCCTTGTTATATTTACGATTTTTGGGATATTTGCGGACATTTCGGGGCCCTTCTTGGTTTCTTCTTTTTCTAAGTCTAGAATGTTGTTAAATTTGTTATTTTTGCGATATTTGCGATATTTGTCATGGGTGTTTTTAGCTAGCAAGAAAAATCCTCGTTATATTTGCGATATTTGCGGATATTTCGGGGCCCTTCTTGGGTTCTTCTTTTTCTAGGTCTGGAGTTTTGTTAAATTTGTTATTTTTGCGATTTTTGCAATATTTATCATGGGTGTTTTTAGCTCGCAAGAAAAATCCTTGTTATATTTGCGATTTTTGGGATATTTGCGGACTTTTCGGGGCCCTTCTTGGTTTCTTCTTTTCCTAAGTCTAGAATGTTGTTAAATTTGTTATTTTGCGATTTTTGCGATATTTGTCACGGGTGTTTTTAGCTAGCAAGAAAAATCCTTGTTATATTTGCGATTTTTGGGATATTTGCGGACATTTCGGGGCCCTTCTTGGTTTCTTCTTTTCCTAAGTCTAGAATGTTGTTAAATTTGTTATTTTGCGATTTTTGCGATATTTGTCACGGGTGTTTTTAGCTAGCAAGAAAAATCCTTGTTATATTTGCGATTTTTGCGATACTTGCGGGCATTTCGGGGTCCTTCTTGGCTTCTTTTTTTTCTAAGTCTTTATTCTTGTTAGATTTGTTATTCTTGCGATTTTTGCGATATTTGTCATAGGTGTTTTTGGCTAGCAAGAAAAATCCTTGTTATATTTGCGATTTTTGCGATATTTGCGGACATTTCGGAGTCCTTCTTGGCTTCTTTTTTTTCTAAGTCTTAATTCTTGTTAGATTTGTTATTCTTGCGATTTTTGCCATATTTGTTGGTGACTTTCTGACAAAATTTTTTCCCAATTATTTCTTTTGCAACAATTGCAGAAAACATTTGCTAGCAAATTTTTGCTAACAAGATCGATCCTGGACATATCTCGTTTTTAAGTCAAATGGTTTTAATGTTAAGACACGAGCTAGTAAATCTGGCATGAATCAGACTGGCAAAAACACCTCTGTCCTTTGGGGTAACGATAGAAAAAGAAGTCAATCTCAGGGAGTGTTTTGTCCGATACCAGACATCGGCTGAGATTAGTAAGCTGAAATAACGAGACACATCCTCAGCACTCACTGAAGAATTCAAAAGGAAAGTTGACCGTACTACCGGGAGGTGGCTGTAAGGCGGGGTTCCACTGTATTAAGTTATAATTTTAGCCGGGCATTGAACAAAAATCGTCAAATTGATTACGGTAAACTTATTAGTTCCTTGAGACTTTTTTTCATTTTTCTCATCGATTTGTTGAACATTTTCAGACCATGTTTTAGTTGGTAATGTTATTAACACGTCCGTTGTTGCTGAGGCTATTGAATGTCACCAAAAATGCCTCAGAAATACCAGCTGCAAGTCGTTTAATGTTCATCCTGGTGCAGATGTTACTAAACACGCGTACGTTTGTGAGCTAAACAACAAAACACGGAAGATAAAGCCGGATGATTTTATAAAGAAGAACGGGTCTGCTTATTATGGCTCAGTGAAGGTTAGTAAAAGTTAAATCAAATGAACGATGTGAAATTAAACCAGAGAGTTTTTTAAATTCCAAAGTATGATGCTATACCCTTTTTTATTGGAAATAGGGGTAATTGAAACAACACCGCTTGGTTTCTATTGTTCACAATATAAAGTCCACCCGCCTTCAGAGGTATGATATCATCATTAAATTATGTTTTCGTCCTGTTTGTGCAACGCAGGTGTCCTGTGTTCCTGTTTCTAACGATAAAAATAAACCAACTAACAGCGGTCAGTGTCACCCTGGATACGAAGGAAAACGATGCGAGAGGAGTGAGTTATGCTTCGTTATTATTAATAGCGGAGCTCCACGCGCGTGCGAGGAGTTCCATACCTAAGAAAATTTGGTTATATATCCATCCGATAAAAAATCACGTTATCATACGTGCAGCAGTAGCAGGCGCAAGAAAGAAGGGCGCTCGAGCGTTCTTTCTTGCGCCTGCTACGCAGGCTAAAGTACGTCCGCCCATCCGTCCGCACGACAGGGAAACCAATGTGAAATGTCAAACGTTCTAGCCGTGTGGGAGCCTGTAACCTGTGTTTAACTTGATAATCGACATCCATGTTATGACCATTTCTTAGCTCTTAATTGATCGCAGAATCATTTTGTGTTTTTCAGTCATGGTTCTCCCCTAAAGTTAAAGTATAGATTTGTGGATTTCTTTGTAATGTTTCAAGTCCATTGTCTGAAGTAAATTTAAAATGTATAAACGGGAGCTTCACTTTTAGCTCTTGGCTAATTCTATGTATTATTTTCACTGGAAAGCAATGGTGAAACTGATTTTACGTAAAACTGTTCTAGCCTAAAAGAGATCGCAGAAAAATCGTTCTCCCAATCACATGCTGTGTCAGTGATGTGTTTTGTGCACATCATTCAGTGCATGGGTTTTCCATATTTCCCGCCTTTCTTGATTGTAGCTCCCTTACTTAGCTCATTTAAGACAGCGAGTATAACTTTGCCTTGATAGAAAGAGCATTTTTTTTCTCAAAACATGATCAACAGTTTGGAAATAGTAAAAATAGGTTTGTAAATCTCAGTGTCACGTGAGAAGATTACGGAAGTCTGCCCAACAATATAGAGGAAAATGTGGAAAAACTAATACAAACACCACTTCCAAAAAAATTACTTACTTTAAGAGTCTTTCTCTGTTTTTTGTTGCTCATTGCGGCCAGTTTCAGTTACAAATTGCTACTGTTTTTCAATTGAATAAAATACTTTCTTATCCTTTCCCCTTAATTATTGACTATTTTCGCATCTCCCATAGTGCACTTTGTTTTCCCCCCAAATTTGATATAAGTTTTTGTTTTCATATGCCTTAGGGAATATGCAGTTCCCCAGAAGCATTTGAAAACAATAATATACAAAATTTAAGGGTTAAACAGAGGCTATTCTGGGATAACGAGACAAATAATTCAAGAAGGTAGTAGAGGAATTTTTTTAACAATGACACTGGAGGAGACGAGCAAACTTGTCAAACAAAGGATGTCAAACTTAGTGAGTTTATTAATCGGTGAAAAAACTTTAAAAGTGTGAAATGTATAGCAGCGAAATTTAGTAGTTTAGTTTAATGTAAAGAGTAAATTGAAAGATTAAACTGGCACGAAGAATGTCTCAATGTGTCTGTAATTAAGCAAATACGAAGCAGATGGTGCTTTGTGCCGAATTCACAAAGGAATTAGTGCTTGTCAGTAATCGAAAAAGCGAGCTTTGTTCTCTACTGTCGAACCTCCCGTAAGCGACCGCCCAAAATGCGATGATTTAGTGGTCGCTTACAAGTATCGATCCACAGAAAAAAGGTCCCGACAAATATTATTTTAGGCGCAGAGATTAGTGCATACAATTTCTGAGTTGTTGTAGTAACATGTTGTCACTGAAAGTTCTTCGTGTGTTCTACACACCGTTCGCAAAGTGGTCGCTAATTACAAGAGGTTAAAAGCAATGGCACACCCGGAATAAAACTGTCAGGCTACTAAACCGGTCGCGGTGGGGCTTATGAGAGGTGGTCGTTTAAAAAAGGTTCTAATATCAGAGCTTTGACTGGAAAAAAAATTGGTGTTTTGAATTCGTGGTCACTCGCTTATGGAGAGCGGTTCGGTTGTAATTCCTTTAATAATTTTTTGTCTTTTCTTTTCCTTTGCACGTCTGAAACATTTAAGCACATTTTGCAGAGAATATTACTTGAGTGTGAAAATGTATTGTTTTCTTTAGTTGTAATCAACCAGCCTGCTCCAAGTCCAAGGCCTTTTAGGTCTTGTAAGGACATCCGGGACGCTGGGTACGCCAAGGGAGACGGGAGGTATATAATCGATCCTGAGAATAATGGAAATCCTATGAAGGTTTATTGTGACATGAGGACTGACGGAGGTAAGATTTGCCACATTCTTTTAAAAATCCAATTTTCAGCATAAAACAACCCAATCTGGCCATCTAATGTAAAATCAGGTGAAAAAAACGGCAAAAGGCGATTTTTAGGGTTTTTGATTAAAAATGTCATTTTTTCGTATCACCACGAACATCATCGGGACCGACACGAGAGTAGATTAACAATCCACTGCGCAAGACTATTCACAGTGTATTCAAGCGTGAATAAATGGAATAAAATTGCTGTAACAATGAAGAAACTTGGGTAAATTAGGTGTAGTAGAGTAGCTAAAATCTTTATATAGGATGATAGTAGATAGACTTGTTTTCAATGAAATGATAGGCCAGCTTTTTGTAATGGTTTAGGGTATTTAAATAATCGACAACAAATTGAATAGAAAGGGCATAGAAACACCTTAGGGATACGGATACAAGAAAATACCTTTACACCATCTGGGTGTATTGGAAAAAAACAAAGAAAATTCTTAAATTCGAAGGTAATAAGTTGTAGAAATAAAACTCTTTAAGACATTGTTTATCTTCCTGATTTTAGGAGGCTGGCTTCTTGTTTCCAACATCACGATGGAAAGCTCAACTCCTCCCTCTCAGCTGCCAGTCAAGACTTCATACCGTGGAATAACCAGTGATCAGATGGTTCTCACAAAAACCGCCATGAATGAGCTGAGAACAAACTTGTCTTTCACCCAACTGAGATTCCACTGCAGTAAAAACAATGGACGTACGTTCCACGTGACCACTGTTGCTAACAGTACCGGTGAAGCCGTAGTCCAGTACTTCAGCGGTCAGACGGATGTCCAGCCCGCCTCATGCGGCTCTTACGTCAGAATGGAAAAAGACAACTCATATTTGGCTGGAGGTTGTAAAAGGTGGCAAAACAGTGGAAGATGGGGAGATGGTGCTAATGAGGACAGATTATATAATCATGCTGCTTATGTTCCTTTTTTGTATCACTGGATATCTGGTCCAAGTAGATGGGAATGCGATGATTATTCGGTAGGAGTAACTGCCGGTGATTTCTGGAAAATTTATGTTCGGTAGACGATTGGCACATTAAATGTAATCACAGGAGAACCTGGCAACTCGAGCCAGGCAAGAAAATATAAATAACCTTCTGTTACAGATTACACTTATTATTGGTTATCCTCTCTGCTTTAGCTTATTTCTTTGCGAGATGAGCATTTTCATCAAGGTCTACCGTTGTCCTTGAGATGTAGAGGAAAACTAAAGAAGTTTATGTTCTGCGCTAGACCCTTAGAAAAGCTGATTACAGCTGACAAGTTTGTCTGTTTGTTTCTTTTTCTACGTCATAGGTAGCTTATTTCCACAACCTTTAAGTAAGTCCTTTTGAAGTAATTAATTTGTTAATATAATTAATTAAGTGAGTGAGTGAGTTAAAGCAAACACGACGGTGAATGTGATTGGAACGTCCGCCAAAAGCAGTACTCAATGTAGGTTTAAAAAGCAAACATCGAGTAAACATGTTATCTGCATGTCCCTGTCGACACTGTCGTGTTTGCTTAAGCTCCCTGAGCGGTAAGGAACTGGGAAGAGGCTAAATCTCTTATCATAATTGCTTTTTCTGCAGAAGAGCTCGATAGTTTTTTCGCCCATTTTTCTAGTTTGAAATAACCATAATATCACGCGATTTACAGTGAGATAGCAAAACGCACAAGCGTAACAGGTCTTTTGGAGGAAAAGTGTCGTTCGCTTTTTCGAGTGTTCATTATTGCCAACGAGCCATCCGAGCGAAGACGCTCGGATGGCGAGGCGGCAGCAGAATAGAGCCGCGCAAGACTCGGCTGTAGGCAGAAAAATTCTCGATCGAGCTTAAAAGAGTGTAACCTCATGTAATGTAGATTCCCTTGAGACCAAGTGGTGTGATAGTTTCAGCCAATCAAAAGGCGGTAAACTATACTTGGCGCACATGTGTTCTTTCCTCAGCGGCACGCGAAGACTGAACTGAATGTGGTACGCTTTTATTGTTTATTCACCAAAATCTGGCCCCGGCAGTCAAGGAAAATGAGAACTTGATGCATTGTATTAATTTGGGGGGCCATTAATGTAAGGTTTTAACGAAAAGAAGCTTGTAAAACAACAGTTTAATTTTCCATGTGAAACAAGCAAAAGGATCAGATTACACGAGGAGATAAGGAAAGCTTGATACGAAGAATATATAGTCGCTTCTGTTGGAAAATCAGATGTTGGGGAAAAATCTAACCAGCAAATGGAAAAATAAGAATAAAAAAGAATTACAAGCCTAAAGCGAACGACGAAGGAAAAGAAAACAACGCTATTTTTTTCGAAACCTGGCCGATGTGAAAACAAAATACCGACGTGCCGTACATCGCATGTCCTTGAAAACATTTCAAGCAGCGCAGCGAATCATTCTAAAATTCAATCGGGAACTCGACAAAAAGCCTCGGGAAATTTTAGAGGAGGTTTAAATGATTAAACTGCACAAATATTTATCTACAAAGTGAAACCGAACCGACACTAATTTTGTAGTGGTAAGTGAAACGATCAATTTTTATATTTCCCCCTAAATATTACCGATCGCTTCCTCTGCAAGCTGTTTTATTCTTTCAAAAAAGTATGCCTCATGACACTTCAAACTTTTATATAGCAGGTTCGTAAAGCCACAGCACTCTGAGGACTGACGCTCTTCTCCGAACCTAGTTTATACCGCCTTGCATAGCACATCAGTTTTAAGGAAATAATCCTTTCAACAAGAAGGGACCAAGAAACTGTCAAATGTTGGAAAAAAGGAACCATTCCTATGCAAAATACGCATGATTTGCTCGTTGGCACTCTATCGATAGGTATACCTAGTATATGACCTCATTACACTGAGTTTCTACTGTAAGTCATTCATTTAGTCAGGCTTTGTTTCAGAAAACTTAACTTTACTTAGTGGTTGTTTATTTATTCTTGGATTTATTAGCATGATATTTTGAAATTTTCAACTCGAGTCTAATTACAAGGTATGGTATTGTATTGTTTGGCTTCCTGAAGCGTGTTTAGCTCCAAAAACGTAGCATCCTATCGTTTGTAATGCATGCATAAAAGTACAGTATAATATTCATCCCTGGGTATTGTTATTCATGACATTATAATAAGGTATGGGGAATCAATCTGACCTGGAACAAGCCCAAGACAGACTGAATTGAATATGGGTAATCTGGAACCTGACTTACTTCCTACGGAGTGCGGGTGGGTCGCGGCCAATCATCTTCGTGTCGGACAAAGTGAAGTGAATGGGACAATGCGTGCCAGTGTTTCCTATCATATATACTCATTTGCATATCATAATTAATCCGGCCTGGGATGATATTTACAATTCAGATGGAACGTGAATAGTGTAAATTTCATAAAATGTTTACCTAGGGAAGGAAGCGAGACGCTTGTAAACCGTGGATTATTTTTCACTAACTTACTCCAGCCTGCCAGTGAACCTCCCTAAACTCGTCCCCAGGGTCTACCCGTTGTCCCATATGGCGGCGGCCGCCATGTTGGCCATATTGGCTTCCACTGTATACAATAAGCTATCACGCTCTAACTAAAACACTTAGGCCTAGGCGAAATGTCGAACTTTTCAGGAGACGAACAAAACTTAACGAGTTAATTTGATGAAAAGTTTGACTTCTGGCTCAGTTAAGTTCGTCTGAATGAGTTTGGATCGTCCAACACCTTCTATCCATCTGTCTCAGACAGACAGAACGTCTGAAGATCTTCGGGAAAAACGTCGATCTTCACATGCGGCGAACTAAACAAATAAATTAAAAATTTGTATGATAATGTATATTTAGCCTCGTTCGAAAAAAAATTACTAAAAATGCATTTTGGTCTGATTCAGTTGAATGGTTCGAGGCGTCCTAAGTTCGACGTCTGATCCAACAGACGATCTTAACTTAGTTTAGGTCGACCTAAGTTAGAGTTTGGTTTGTCTCGTGAAAAGTTCGAGATTTGACCTAGGCCTTAGTTCTGGTCAGGTTAGTAATGTTTCCACTTGACATTTTTCCTCATGAATGTCAGTTAACCACTTTTAGTGTCATTGAGTGACTTTTGAGCATGCGCGCTTACAGACGGAAAAAGAATTTGTAACATTTCGCGTGGCGGACTCACGCTACCACTTACAGGCGGATGCTTAAATCCCAAATTAAAACATTTTGGCTCGCTCGCTAGCGCTCGTCCATTGGTTTTAAATACGAAATCTAAAGTGAACACTTTGTCCGAATGAATGTTTTCGGATTAAGTGATACATGTAAACACTTGTAATGCAAATACCCTAAATGCAATGAATCCGGAAATATTTCTGTGAGACAGTCAAACATGGAGCGCTACCTCTCTATAAAGAGGTTTCGTTACTGATATAAAGAATCGTTTTCCCACATACTTTACTATTACTGGGGCAAGAAATGTCGTTCATTATATGGTTAACAGTTATTCCTCTAGTGCGCGTTGGGTATGAGATGGCAGGAAACCAGCGAGGCTCGTAGCGCCAAGCGCGAGTGGAATAATCGTTTTATTGAAAACGTCCACAAAATATCGATAATTCTTCCTGAGTTTATTGGTAAAAACAACCGATTTTCAGCTTTTATGATAATGCAAGACCGCTATATAGCTGCCACTTGCTGGGTAGTACACGCGAAACCTCTGTAAATAGTGTTAATATTACGTGCGTTAAACTTCCGGTTTTACAACTTAGAAAACATGAGGATGATTTTTACAAAAAGAAGTATTGGTTAGAAATCGTAGAGTCGTAAATAATGATAAAAGAGAGATGTTATAATCATGTATGTGTAAAACCCATTAAAAAAGCTTTCGTGTCTAGAAAGCCTTAATTGTTGTTTTCAATGTGATATCAGTTGACAATACTATTTTTATGACTTAATAAATTAGTAATTAATAAACTCAATAACCCGTACAAAATGAATCTCCTGATCACTAGTTGCTGAAAATACAAAGATTCAGTGATTTTATACAAGGGGCCTAAATAATAAAAAAAAAGATAAGAAAAGTAAGCTTCAACACGGAGAATAATGGTGGCTGTCTATTTGTGGCTCACTCGCTTGTTCTTTCTGACTATTACTGTAGCAGTTTCATTGGTAATGTCCAACTCGGACTTCTGCGCAAGCGTTTTTGAAACTCAAATTGGTAAATTAACGCCCATAATTAACTAAAAATTTCCATCATATTTAACATTTCCAAGAGTTCACTTCCTCAAAATATCATTGTCCTCTTTAAAATGTCGCTTTCAAGTCAAATGCTATTAACGTTAACACACACGAACAGTAAAAACTGGAATGAATCAGATTGGCAAAAACACTTCTGCCCTTTGGGATGATGATAGGAAAAGTAGTCAATCCCAGGGAGTGATTTGTCCGATACCAGACATCGGCTGAGAAGTAAACTGAAATAACCATACACATCCTCAATAGTCACTGAAGAATTCGAAAGAAATGTTCGCAAAATTTCGTCGTTTAGAGGATTCGATTAACGAGAAAGATTCCCTTTGCTCTCTCACAGAAAATATCGATTAGACTTAGAGGATATAGAGCGGTTAAAGAAAATGATTTGAAAAGACCCCTATTAAAGCATTAACTGATTTGTGGATTACGAGTTTATTGTTTCATTTAAGTTATAAATTTATTAATGGGAGCTTTACTTTTTGCCTTGGCTAAATCTATATATTATCTATTAAACCAAACAACCAACACGCAGGATTGGGACTAAGACAGCCTTTATTATAACCGTTAAAACTTTATCTAATACAACATCAAAATAAAAAGGAAAACCAACAGTTGAAATTTAAAACTCGACAATGCACTACAATGGTCTATCAAACAAAAATACAAGGGCTGTCATAAAACATAACAAAAATAGATCCGGCGGTTGGGAGGGAAAGATTTGCTGAGTCGATCAGTCTGCTATGCTCTAAGGAGTCCGATTGAGTGCATTCGAGAAGTATTCTTGAGTTTCCCTAGCTTCCCACGCAGACGCTCTTAGGGGTTCTTCACGCGCTCCTGCGCCACGAACGACGTTCGTGGGGCGGGAACACGTGACGAACCCCTAAGAACGTCTGCGTGGGAGGCTAGAGTTTCCCTACCAATCATTTGGCTTTTCGAAAACATGGAACGAGCGCGGAGCGCGAGAAAGAAAAATAAAGAACTTCTGTAGACAACAACGACACTCGTAGTTGTGTGTTTGTTGAAGCATGTCTTTTTAGACCCTCCTTAGATTGCTTCTACACTGCAAAAGCCGGTAAAAGAGGTCCGAAGCCGGAACAAATCGGCACATTGGATTATTGTTGGATATTTGGGTGCCTTGTGTACGCCAATAGTACTGGGCAATCATCCCGTTTCCGTAAAACTACAGAGAATCTTTTTTTTGAGACTGTTCGTCGAGGAGTTACAAAACGAACGTTGGCGGACGATTTAAGAGATCTTGA